TGCCCTAGGAAATAACCATGACTGCGGATGATCTTACTGGAGCCATTATGTCTATGCCATAACTGAGAGCATTTAAACTGAAAACCAGGAGATCCATCAGATTGCCAATGCCATCCTCACTCCACCATCTATGAATGTGTTCAGCCCAACTCTAGGAATCTTCTTGACTGACTGCCCTCTGGGCTCAAAAATTGAGTTTATAGTCTGCTCCAATCATTAATCTTTGTCTTTCTTACTTTCCTAGAAATCCCGCTCATTAAATGCCTGCTTATTCACAACATCCAGCAAATATCCTCTACTACAAATTCTCAGAGTTGGTTCAACTAGTCCTTCAACAACAGAAAGCTGTTGAAATGTGGTACATGAACTACTTTTCCTAAGTTGCTCATTGGGAACACTGGTTTCCCTTAAAGAAACGGGGGGGGGGGAGGGCTGACAAAGACAGCCTTAACTTTACCCTCAGCTTAACTAAACTTGAGACAGCTTTATTCTCTACTCTAGGCCTGACCTCCCTTTAGTTAGAGCACTTACTTTAGAAATCTATTATAAATTCTTTCTCTGCCTCTTTGAGATATAAATCTTCTCCCAGCCTCTTGCCTGTTTTACACCCTAGGAATGTCTTTCTCAAGGACCTGGGAGCCATCCCTTTGAAATATAATCATTAAAGAAGATAGCACCCCTATCTGCTAGTCTCAGTGGGAGTGTAGGAATCTAACTCTGATAAGCACCAATTAGCAAATACAGATTGGCCTAATGACATTGACCAACCTCCCCCCTAACAACCTCTAGTACTTTCCCACTAACTTGCCCCAGTACTTAAAAGATCTACAGCCTTTTGTTTCAACAGAATTGATTTTAATCTCTCTCCTTTATTGCAAAAGTTTTGAATAAAATCTCTTGCCTGTTAAGTTGTCCAGTGCAATTTTTCTTTAACAACACTCACAGCAGTGTGAACATATACAGAAAAGGCTTTTGGTGTTTAGTTACTTTAATGGTCAGTCACTAAAATTGAGTGCTTTGGTAGTTTTCAGTGTGGATTTGACATTATGGGCAATTATGTTTCTTACACAGTAAGGAAGAGCCAGTGGAGCCACGTGTTGTGTTTATTTATAAACCACAGAAGAAAAGTCATTCCTCCCTCAAAGGGGAGGAAAAAATCTTCCCTGTCATCAAGATGAGAGTATTTCAGTCAGTAAGTATTAACATAAAATTATGTGTTACCTCCCTCACCTCATATTTTAATAAAAAGTTTGGAAAGCAGTAGTTAGGCAGTTTTATGTCAGATAAATAGTATACCTCTAGCTCATTATTGAAACCATTCATTAAAGATTAAAAACATAAGATCCTTTATAGAAATTCTAAACTGGTCCTAGGATCTTAGCATTCAATTATCATTTCTGAAATCTGAAATCAACATATTTTATGTCTAAATTGAGAGTACATTTGAAAATCAAAATTCAAAGGCATGCCTTCTAGTGGGCTGACTGATGGGAAAGGGCTGTGATTACGCCTAATTTTCACCCTCTACATCACGATCTCATTGATTATGTTTCTCAGCTTGCCAAGGGTTCTGTGAGGTGATTTTCAAGATGAATATTGCTATTTGCAGGATTTCCTGAATAGGAAAATTTCGGGAGCAAATTGCACAAACCAAGCGATGTGCAGTCAATTTTCACTCCAGCATAAACAATGTATTAGAACAGAGCCCTTAAGGCTTTTTTTATTTGGGTTTCATTACACAGCTAGCTGCATTTCATCAATAAGCATGAAGTGCCAGCCAGGCAAAACTGAGGCTCACAGAGGGTATTACATATTTTTCTAACAGGTGCTCAGAGTTTGACTAGAGAAAACAAATGACCCAAATAGCAAGGCCTCGGGCCTTTTGTTTCAGAGGTAGCCACGGCTGCCATGGCCAGAAAAAGTTTCTTTAAATTTACAAATGGAAACAGGGATCTAGCTGCTTGGATATCTACTTTCTTTGCATGAACTCATTCCTAAGATTTTTTTAAAAGGCAGTTTCTTTCTCTGAGTTAAAAAATGGGCATATCCTCAAAACTGTTTGAAAAATTATTTTTGGTTTTCAGTAGTTTAAAGCTAAGCAAAGTAGAATCCATTTTCCCAACTTTCTTTAATTGAAAAAAAGAAAACATTCAACCTCTTTAAGCAGACAGTTACAGGAGGCTATAAAGACTAAAATCCCATATCTTCAAGCAGAACAACTCTGTGCAATCTTAATAAATCATTTATTAGACAATGAGCAGAGACAGAAGCCTGACAAAGAGGGATAAAGAACTAGGCAAGTTATTAGACTATTCACACAGATCACCATTTCCTAATTACAAAATAGAGATTTGAGAATTATTGGGAGAAACTTTCAAGTAGTCATATACATGATTTTATGTTCTTTTCTTTTGGACACAGCTACAAGCAGAAGAAAAAGGCTAAAGGAATATTTTTGAAATCTGTACTCCAGAGATAAAAAAACTCAGAATATGCATGGAGAACTGAAGCCAAGGAGTTTTCTGCCAGGGAAAAAGCAGCTGCCTCTCCCCACAGTGATTTAGACCAAGCTGTAGGAGGCAAATATCATGACTCTCTGAAACTACACACAGTAGTGAGTGGTGACTTGTAGCTTTGATAAAGGAAAGAGATTAGCACAGCTGAGAATGGCTTTCACTTCAAACTGCAAGGACCCATTTGGCAGAAACATATGAATCATGGACAATCAAAGACCCAATGCAGGATTTCAATATCTGAAAACCATTCTGGGGGCCACAGACTAGGAATAAAGTCACTTTGGTTGAATAATTAGGACTCATTTGTGTCAGGGGATTTTGTTATCTTTTCTCTTAAATATATTCCATGAACACAGATAGGTAGCATTGAGTATATTTTTCATTATTTTAAAGAAGAGGCACATTTTAACCAAAGATTATATTTAAAAGTAGAGGAATGTGCTTTTACCTGTGAGTTATAAAAAGCTATTTCTGGTTGGGAAGAAAGAATTTATGGCTTTTCCTCTTTGCAATACTAAATCAAGGACTTTTAAGAATATACTGGGTCCAAGATAATTGAGAATCTGGCTGAGGTTGTTGTGTATTGGGCCAAGTAACTGTACTTCCTTGTTGGGATCCTTTAATGAATAATGAAAAATCAATATTGATGAGATATAGTTGCGCTGGTGAATAGGACCTAGTCAAATACCTCTAAGGACACTATGTACTACCTAGGTGGAGAAATGGAAGGGATCCTAGAGCTGATGGTGTCTCTAAATTGACAATGTGCTGTCTTGCCCCTTTTGACCATGCAAGACTCAAGTACAGAGTGATTGGGGCATCAGAAGTCATGCCTTGGTGCCAAGAACCCCACTGTGTCATTAATCTTCAGGCTGTTGTTACTCATCCTATATACTTTCTTAAGCCAACTGAATTTGTTACTAAGTAAAGCCTATTGTGATTCATGAATTTGAATGGTCAACCCAAGACCATACTACTGGTTGAGAAGGTTGAGTAATGCATTGGTAAAATGGTGTCTACCTATGACTTACACATTGCCATTTGTTCTTGGAGGGTAGGAATCAGAATGGTAGATACAAATGTCAGGAAAAAGTAAGGTAAAAGTGGTGGAGTGCACTTTGCTAATCTAATTCATTTTAGTAGTAGCAAGCCTCTGTCTCCTCATTCTCACCAAAACCATCTTCCCCAAACTTTCACTTTTTCTTCTTTAAAAGATTCTCAAACTTTCTTTCATGCTTGCCCTCTTTTCTAGCAAAATGGTAACTAGATGGACATTAAATGTTAGGTTTTTACAACCCTGAAAAGTAAATAAATTTAACAATTTTAAGTGTAAATCAACATACAAAGTCAATTGGAGATGGGTACAGAGGTTTATAAGAAATCCTAACAGGGATTCTAACTCTGCTTGGAGTATGGAAGAAAATTTATAAGAGGCAATAACTTTGAATTTGGTCATAAAGGATGGAGAAAAATTCACCATGCCAAAACAAACTGAAAGAAGTCATTTAAAGAAGAGAGAAAATTAAGAACACAGGTATGATATTAAACCACATGGATGTAAACATACCATATGATTTGGTGTGGCTAGAGTATAAGGGGAGGCTGTTGGCAGAATATGAGGATAGAAGAGTAAACTGGAGTCAGTTTGAGAGGGGTTTATAATGTCTACTAAAAAGCTGAGACATTATTTTGTAGGCACCTATTCTCTTAGACAACTTCAATTTTGGATAAGGAATCTACAAATATGTATTAAATATAATTAAGGCAGGCATAGAAAATGGATCATAGTAACAAATATGGTATAACTATTCTAGTGATGTGAGTTTAATAAAGATATTATTTCTAGTAAATACTGGAAGAAAGAAAACCTGAATAAGTTAGTCGAATAATAATAATTATTAATATCATTATGACAAACATGATATTGATGATAACAAAGATTCTTTGGTTAGCTAAACTTGAATCAGGCTTCTGAACCTTCTCCTAAGCCCATTTATGCACTTCCTTGTAAAATCCAGTTTTAGCAAAGCGCCCTGCTAAGTCAGATTAGCAATAACTCCCCACCCTCAACATCTGCTCACCCTAAATATCAGATTGGGTTCCTTACCCTCTACTATTCTCTAAGTGATGTCTGATCACCCTGGCCTGCCTTCAGTAAGAATCCTGTTAGGTAAGATTCGTCAGATTCCTTATCCCTGATATTTACTCTTAGTGATTTTCCATCCACTGATCCCTATCCTGCTCCTTGGCTATAAATTCCCACTTGCGCATGATGTAATTGGAGTTGAGCCCAGTCTTTCTCCTTCTCCTGCAAGACCCCATCAAAGTGGTCCCTGTAACCACTGTGATGACCCTGTATAAAGTCTTCCTCGCTGTGCTTTAAAAACTAATTTTTTCTTTAACAATGATAATGAATGAGGAACTTAATTCAGTCATATTGCTATTCTTTTAGAAAACAAACCTTTTAAAGCAAAAAGTTCTTACCTTAATGTCAAATGGTCCTGTTTGATTTGGTTGGTTGTAAATTTCCAACTGATTCCTAATAGGAGACAGCCACAGAAGCAGATGATTTAACTGCTCATCAAGGTCTTCAAGCTTTTTCTCAAGCTGCCCAAGGTCTTTTATGTGAGCTTCAATTTCTCCTTGTTTCTCAGGTAAAGTCCTAGAAACCTGAAAGGAAAATAAATTTAAAAGGTAAACAATTTGCAAGGTCTAAATAAAAAAGAAAAACATTTTCAAAAATTATTTATCATGAAATGTTATAGAAATTTACTGATATGGTATTTTAACAGCTGGATATTGATGACTTAAATATGTTACATGTTAGGATTAATTAATGTATTAGAGATCATTCATTAACACTCTCAAAAAATTCTATGCTTTGAAGACACGAACTCCTTCTTGGAAATTTAAAACACACACTATACGCAAATGCACACTCAACTTCAACCAATAAAAGTAAAGGAGCACATTCTTCATTTGTCCATCACCTCACTTACCAAACATAATGGCGTGTTGTCTATTACATGCCAGACACATTACCTTTGCAGTTATAAAAATGAGTAAGCCAAGTTATTCAGCATTAGTACCAGATATATAACATAGATCTTCTAAATCTCAAATGAGTGATTTATATTCAAAGAGTATCCTAAAATTAAAACCAAACTATAACTTTTGTTTGTATAGTAATCATTTCTTCTACTATACTTGCCTCTAGCTTTCTTCTATTTAGGGAAATTATAAAAAGAAATCATTTTACATACAAAGAAAATTGGTGAGGTATGTATGCATTTTTTTCAAGCTATTGTTTGTGAGCCCTAGAGAAATCAAGTAAAACAGACATAGATGATTGAGATAAAAAGTAAAAGGAACATTTGGATTGGAGTAGAATAAAACAGAATGATTATAGGTTTATTTTTATTAAGTGCTTAGTATATATCAAGCATCATGCTTGGAAGTTTCACATTTATTGCAATCTTTAATCCACCCAATGGCCCTCTGGTATAGGCACTATTTAATATCCCAATTTATACATGAATAATGACATTAGATTTGAAAAACATTAAATAGCTTAGGAAGCAGTATGACATGGTGTTAAACATCGTGGAGTCTAGAGTCAGGCTGCTCGGATTTAAATCCTGGTTCTGGCTCTTGACTAATACTTTAGCCAAGTTTACTCTAACTCTCAATGCCTCCTGTATGGATTGGGAACAATGACAGCACCTGCTTCATAGAGTTACTGTAAGGACTCAATAAAACAATCAATGAAAATTGCTTAGAGCAATACTCTGCATGATAGTGAACAGCGATAAGGTCATTAATGTTAGTGCTTATTGCTCAAGCTCAAATGTAAATACAGGGTTAGAATAAATAAGAATAAAACCCTTTTTCAGAATATCGAGCATTAAAACTAGTATACCAGAATAAAGGTTGTAAACTCATAATGACAGCTCTTTATAATATTATTAATAATACCATCATAATATAAATATAATATAATATAAATGAAATGTTATAATATGCATCTATTATATATTATTGCTATATTATGAATAATAGAGAGCATTTAAAAAATAAACTAGATAAGCATACTAATATATTAGTACATCATCGAAACAAAACCACATATTATGAAATGATTATTTTAGATATTTTTAAAGAATTCACTAATAAACATTACTTTCTTTAATTGAATACAAGAGTTATGAGGTGAAAAAGGAAAACATTCACGGACAAAGTAATCATTCAATTAATTTATAAGAAAAGGAATTTTAAACAAGATCTTATATGTAAACAATATGTACACTGAAACATATTATAAATACATTTATACATATTGTATAGAATGCATGTGAATGTATGACTAAAGGGTTCACATCAAGCCTACGTGGATGCAGGCCATCCTGGGACTTATCCTAGGCTCTCACAGCACTGTTTCCTTGGAAACACTAACTCTAAGATGAATGGGAAATGTTGGGCTTACTTTCGTTGTATGGAAATGCATCTGATTGGGGGAGCTGTGAATTGGAATACAGGCCTTGGAAATACAACAATGGTGTAAAATATTGAAAGGAAATAGCAGTAGTGGATCCTATTTAAGGTGACCTACACACATCTTGGCTCTCTTCCCTGGCAGCCTTTATCTGTGTGGGTGAGAGGGCAAAAGAAACACAGTGCTCAGGTAGCATGGATTGTTTGTCCACAAATAATGAATCATGATGCTGTATCTGCTTTGCTTGACTTGTATCATGTTATAAAGCCAAGTAAACATAGTATTAGATGAATTAGGCCTGCCTGTTTGATTCAAATCCATAAATGCATCTGTAGTGCTGAATTCTCTTTATATCTGTGTGTGTGTGTGTATCTGTGTGTGTGTGTGTGTGTGTGTGTGTGTGTGTGTGTGTGTGAGGGAGACAGAGGAAGAGATACATAGGTGATATCACAAATGTAATTCTATGTCCGTAATACATAATCTAATACTGCCCTCAATTTATTTTTTCTCACATTTAAAAGGAGGTAACTAAACATTTTATTTTTATTGGATCATTTTCTACTCACAAGTACATATAAAAAGCATTTTACAGCTTCAAATAACAGCATCTAAGCGCCTCTAGATTCTGAAGCTACTGCAGATAATAGCCATCATATTTTCCTAAAATATCTAAAATTGAGCTATGAACTCCTTTTTATATGATCACAATATCATTCACGTTTCATTTAGGCTACAGAAATCTGTATAGCATTTAACTAAAATTGTTGGTTTCCTTATCACCCTCCCAACCTATCCCTTCTTGGTTATAGAGGTAGAATAATTCCTGACGGAAACAGTGCAATGGGTAAGATTTGACTCATATGTGAAATAACCAAATGATAGCTTATAATGAGACTAAATTTTCAGCTTAAATATGATGTCACATTAGGTATATCCTCACAGACGGTGTGCTTCCTTCAATCATAACATTTGCCTCACACTATTTAACTTGTTACTTACATTGAATCTCTCACTAAGCTTTGATTTCTGGACAAGTTGGATTTCTACACATGATAGACCTTCAACAAAAGTCTGTTGAATTAAAGACAGTTTCCAAATTCAAGATTACGTTCTTTGTTTATTAATATAAGAAGCAATATATGTCCAGAGTAGTCAACTGCATAAAAAAATGTAAATTGTACCCTCAAGTTAAACAGCTTTAATTAACAGACAAAAATATCAGTAAACTGAACTATATAAAAATCAGAAGCTTCTGCATGACCAAGAAAGCCATAGGCAAAGTCAAAGACAAATGTCAAATTGTAAAAAAAAAAAATAATTTGTGACTTATATCTCACACAAGGGATGAAATTTACTAACACATAAAACAGTTTCTGCTAATTAATAAGAAAAAGGCCAACAACCCAAAAGAAAATTAGACAAAAGATAAGGACAGTTCACAGAAAGGAAAATATAAATGATTTTAAACACACAAAAATAAGCTTAACCTTGGTCATAATGAGAGAAATGAAAACGAGAACTGCATCTATTGCATTGGCAAAAATCCAAGTTTGCTGTCAAAGCTTTGGGAAAATACAGACTCTTCTTCATGATTGGTGAGATGTGTATATTGGTGTACCCCTTGTGGAAGACAATTTGACACTATCTATCAAATGCATGTAAACTTTGACCCAGAACTTTTACTTCTAAGAATTTATTTTATAGATTTATTTCTAGAACTAAAGTCAACGTTTAGTGAAGGTAGGGCAGATGGTGCATGGAGTGAGATTTTCCACTGTACTTTTTAATTTCTGAGCAATGTAAATGTCTTTGCAAAAAAATAATTAAATGAGAAAAATTACCGTACTAGTAATAAATTACACTTTACATATTTTCATAATGAATCATTATTAATAACATATCTAAAGCCACCAGTAAAAACTGCTCTGAGTATTTTTTCTATGACAGTATCACTCAGTTGACAGGTGTAAATCAAAAACTTCTAACACTCAATTTTGTGCTATACCCCCCTCCAAACAGTCTCTAGGAATTTATGACTTACTTGTTCCAAACAGTCCTTGGAAAAAGATAACAGGTATGCATAATTTATGATGTAGAATAAGAGTAAGTTTTATTCAGTTTCTATGTGCTTTGAGATAATTTACTTTTATATTTACTACTTCACAGTCCCATCAAATACAAACAAAAACATTTGACTAATAAAATGTATCATTTTTTTCTAATAATCTTTTTAAGTATTATAAAACAATGCTCTTCATACAACATGTTCCCTGTGGTGAAAGAAAACAATTAAACACTTTCAGTTACCTTATGTGTTAATTTAGTATCTAACCAAATCTTGACCTAATTTCACACAAGATTAGCTTTCTTATTCTTTCCATTGCTGAATGTTAATTTCAAATGTGTAGAGTTTTAATATTTAAGATAAACAGAAGTGTCTATTTTAGAAATAAACAGATATTATTGACTTCATACCTTATATAAAAATTTTCCAGGGAAATTAAAGCATTAAACATAAAAATAATAGTAACAGAAGAACTAAAATAAAATATTGGTGTGAGGATGCCCCATAGAAACAAAAAGGAATATGAAAAATGAGTAAATATAATATTTATACTGTTCATTGAAGCCCAAAATCAGAATTAAAACAGATGACAAAAACTTAAAAACAAAAACAAAACAAACAAATAAAAACACAAACAACTGGGAATATTTGCCGCATCTATCAGACAAACGGTAATAGTCTTACTATCTATAAAGATCTTGCAATGAATAACAAAAGTGAAGCATGTATTGGAAAACTGGATAAAGAACATAAATAAGAAATTGGCAAAAATGCTTACAGACAATAAATAAGAAAAATATTCATACATTGAGTAATCAATGAAATGTAAATTAAAACAACAATGATATACTATCATTTGCTTATTACACTGGTTTCTATAAAAGGTATTTGTCAAAGTTCTGGAAAATAAGCAATCTTATGATCTTCGTTGGAGCATAAATTATTATGTAGTCAGGTACTATGTGATGACATTTTGGTCAATGACAGACCACATATACAACTGTGGTCCCATAAGACTATAATGGAGCTGAAAAATTCCTATCACATAGTGGTGTTGTAGCACAATGCATAGTAGGTTTTATAATACATAATACTTGATAATTATAATAAATG